TATATATATATATATATATAAATAATAGTGCTGTGAAATTATTAATCGCGAATAATCGCATCCCAAAAAGTTTTTGTTTACATAATATATGTGTGTGTGCACTGTGCATATTTATTATGCATACATAAAAATACAGACATGCAGTAAATATTTTGAAAATATATACATTTATATATTTATAATAAATATATTTAATGTATAAACATTACATATTTTTCTTAAATATGTGCATGCATGTGTTTTTATTTATATATACATAATTAATGTACACACTATACACATATATTATGTAAACAAAAACTTTTATTTTGGATGCGATTAATCATTTCACAGCACTAATATAAATATATATATATATATATATATAATGAATAGGATTTTAACTTCTGGAACCCTACTGTTGTGCTCTATTTGAGTGTAATAATCTATCCAGTATCTTTCAACAAACTATTCACTGAATAAATGCTAATTTTTCATTCTATTACCCCTCTAACTGGTTTGTGCCCACTGGCGCCCCCTTTTTTTGGTCAGTTTGAGCTGGTGCCCCAGTGAACCCTGTCGAGAGCTGGAAGAAATTAGAGAGCTCATCAGGTACTGCGTTGTGTGCAAGCTTCCTGTAAATCCAACCGGAGAGCCAACCCCTCTGACTAGCACAAAGAGCTTTTGCATCATCATTTGCATTACCTGTTTGCCAGAGCAAAGTGAAACGTTTGTTTAGGCCTTATTCTGTGCTGCTTCAGTCAGCCTGGGTAAAGCTTCGAGAAATTATGGCTTTTAAAAGTTAGATGTGTTGCTGCCGAGTTACTTAGAGGAGCTGCTTATTGCTGAATAGATTTTTGTTGTAGTTTTTTGTTATTGTTGTCGTTACATGATGACTAATATTGTTGTTCTCGTAACCGGTCCGAATGTCAGGTAAGAGGATGTTTGTAACAAACCTGCTTCAGATTGTTGCACTGAAATGTAAAATAGTATTTAATATGACTGATTTGACATGACTACTGTAGGTTACAGCATTTAAAGTCATTTTTGAATGTCAGATCAGTAAGAAATAATCAACATTTTCACTTGTGTACAGTGTAGTGTTTTTTTTAACTATTACATTTTTATTTATTTAGGGGTTAAAAATAATTGTGATCTTATTTCCAGATTTGGAAAAATTGTAGCGACTATCTATATATATATATATATATATAATCTTAGAGTGTGATTTTGCTTTTTATTTCTCTTAGGTAAGTTAGTTTTTTTTTAATTTATTTTGAGGTTTGAATATGGAATACATGCTCACGTATATATTAGCATCCCAAAACACTTCTCAGTTTGCCTTGGTTTGCTATTGTGCTTCACTGTGCTGCTTTGAGCTTGTGTTTTGTATATAGCATTGCTTCTAATGTAAGGTCTTGATGTCAGCAGCCATTCTGTTGGTGAAATTCACTATTTTCAAATACTAGACTTTAAAGAAATAGCCCAAACCTGTTAGCTTTGCATAGTCTCAAACCACCCAACTACATTTTGATACTGCACTTTTAGTAATTTTTGATGACTTCCCAAGAAGTTCTTTAATTTTATTTCAGTATTTAAGTAGCTGCACATCATTAGTTATTTTCTAAAAGTTATTATATTGTATAATAAATAAGTTGTAATGCATTTTTAGTGTGGATACATCGGTGTTGGGTGGAGTGCAATATGAACATCCGCTTTGCATATTTTGCATCTGGTTGGTCAGTAGTACACCGCACACAGACACATGTGTATGCCTTTTTGGGTGAAAAAGAAACCATGTAAACAACACATTTATTTTGAATTGATTTAAAAAATAGTGAGGGTGAGATACACGGTCAATGCTGCAGGTTGTGTGAACGTCCAGAGTTCTCCAGATAGTTTTGGAAATATTAGAAATGATGATCAACAAGTACAAAACAGTATGTACTGCTGCACAGCTTTGCTTTTATTTGTCACTTTAAAAAAGACGGCTTTCAAAGTTGTTTCTTTCTTTTATTTTGTTTTTATACGCAATTTTTATAAATTTTGTATTTTTTAATTTGATTGTTTATTATAATTAATTGTATTTTAATTTATTTGTTAATTTATAATCATTTAGATTATTTTTTTTATATTTCTTTATTTTTTCTTTTTTTAATAAATTTTATTTATTTATTTTTCTATATTTTTTTTCTTTCTTAGCATGACTGAGCTCTTTTGTGATGTGTTCTGTTGTAGTTATAGTTTGGAGGGTCTAGCAGCAGGGATTGAGGATGGCAAACGCTGGATACCGCAGTCCGGAGGTCCATCCCAGGATCAGCGAGGGGTTCAGAGGCAGGAGAGTGAGGAGAGGGGCTCACTGATGTCTCTCACAGAAGAAGGTCCCGAGTCTGATTTGGGAGAATGCAGCAGTCCAGGTGGACAGGTAAGACCAGAGTCTCCGAATCGTGACATTTGGGTTAAAATACACGAACCGTTTGAAAGGGTTCTTGAAGCCAACATAAAAAACAACCTGAGCAAAAAACAATGCATAATTCTTAGCGCTCCGTTTTCCTGAAAGCACTTTAGGTGGAAAAAGTAGAGTGTGCAGTATGTTTCCGTGTACTTAACTTAAGCACTGAGCATCTGAGTTTGTGATTTCAGAAACCGAGGAAGTACCATCAGTTCAGACACAGCGGTCCATCTGTGACTCTCCCCCTCACAAAATCAGTCTCTATGCTTTCCATCAGCCAACGGGACATGGATGGTCAGTAAAGCTGCTTTATTTCCAGTTTCTGGCTTCTGTAGATCGATAATATAACAGATTCTGTGCTAGAAACATCTTTTTCTCTCAGAATACCAGATTTTTCGTATGAATTCTTTGTTGCAGAGGTTGTACGACTACAGGTGGTACCAGTATAACATAATTTAGTTTTCCTCATCTGGTTTGTGTTAGTCGTCCTCCACCCATTTCTCAGGCCCTAAATCATCTGCTTTAATAAGTACTTGCTCTGACTTTTCCATCCCCGATGCGGCCGCCCTGCGATAGGAAGGATTCGGCGAAAGAGGCAGATCTCTTTTACCTTCAACCTCTCACCGCTCCTCCCCAAATCTAAAACTGTCTTTACTGTCAGCTCTTCATCTAGTGATGAGGAGGACATCATAAGTAAGTTGCAGTAGGATCTTCAGGATAATAGCATCCTCAGCATAGTAACCTCCAGCGTCTCGTCCCTAGATGATGTCCTGTGATTCACAGCACAGTAGATGTAGACAGAGATGAAATATGCTAGCCACCTTTGAAACCTGTCCCTCATATAGACCAATACATTTTCTGGAACGCTTTTCAACTGTGTTTTTGGGTTACTAAGCCACATATTTAGAAATAAGGAATAATGGAAATCCAGCATAGCTTTCAAAATGTCTTATTGAAACTTGGTGTTTCATATTATATCAAATTTAATAATATATATAATTTTTCAAATTTATTTCCCCTTAGTTAATAAATTAAAAAATGTCAGTCTTTTCCTCCATATAATAAAAGTGTGTTGTTATATGTATAAAATTTCAGCAACCAAAAAATATGCCATCAAAACAAATTTTTAGTTTCGGCTGAAATTATTGACCAAAACAGTGCTGTTTAATTAGCATTTCTTCATTGACGCATTTTGATTGTAACGGCGTCTGTTTCATGTACACAGCTTGGATACGCTACAACATGTCAGCTGTGTAGACGCATTTTTACACAATCAAAAATAATGCTAGATGTGCAATATGTACAAATTGTTCAGCTGAAATATTGAGAGGCTGGTTTAATTGATCACTTAATGAGAACATGACACCCTGAAAAACATTGAGTTCATTTACCTAATTACCTAAATTTAATGACCAACATTGTATTTTTAGTTTACGTTTTCATGAAAACATTAATTTCAGTTTTGGTAAAAAAAATAAATAATTTTGGTGCATCACTAAACGTACTGTATAGCTTCAGAAGATGTCTATGAACTACTTTTATGGTACTTAAGGCTGGGTGATGCATTAGCCATATTATCACAATATCTTTGCGGACTATATAAAATTAGGGGAAATTGTGTAACGTTGTACTTTTTAACAGTAGCTGTTCTATCGAGATCATGTCTTATCATGGGGGGCAAAAAATGACCCTTTTACATTTTTGAGAGGCAAAGTAAAAATATCAATATATACAGTATAAATATTGTCAAAATATTGAGAGAGAGATTTTTAGCTATGTCACCCAGCTCTAATGGGACTTGTTTTTGGAGTTTGAGAGCTATTTTATTTTATTTTATTGCTATTAACTATTACTAATATTAATTGCATTTTAAAATAAATATTTATAATCACATAAAAAATGTATTATTAGAGCAGACAAAACCACTCATGTAAACATATTTTATTTTACTTTATTTTACTATTATTGATTGCATTTTAAAATAAATATTTATAATCATATAAAAAAATATTATTAGAGCAGACAAAACCACTCATGTAAAAATTTTATTTTATTTTATTACTATTAACTATTACTATTATTAATTGCATTTTAAAATAAATATTTATAATAATATAAAAATGAATTATTAGAGCAGACAAAACCACTCATGCAAACATTTTATTTTATTTTAAACTATTACTATTATTAATTGCATTTTAAAAGAAATATTTATAATAATATAAAAATGAATTAGAGCAGACAAAACCACTCATGTAGACATTTTTTTTTATTAAAAAAAATATATAAACATTTTATTTTATTTTGGTGAATTTAACTATTTAATACAGCGTTCTCCAAATTGCTTGACCAAGCACTAACTCTTTTTGCAAAAAGCCGGTTTTGCATGTGTACGTAAATCAGGCTCTACCATGGGGGGATGGAGGCTGTTTGTTGTTGGTGATGCTAATATGACTCCATCATTGTGCTTGTAGGCATGACGTCATTCACCAGTACCACCAGTTCAATGGGATACAGGTAAGACGCCTATTAATATTTTGGCTCATTTCATATTGACATTTCTGGAAACACTGGAAGCACAGTAATTCATGCCTTTATATCTTGTCTTTTTTTTTAGCATCACAGAGGAGGAACCTGGACCTTTAAGAGGAGATTTTGAAAAAAGTACCACCAAAGTGAGCCGGACGTTCAGCTACTTGAAGAACAAAATGTACAAGAAAGCCAGAGTAAGTCGACTTTTATGGTCAACTTTTTTTCCAGGTCATTTCCTCTCTACCAAGAATGTAGATTAGATCATCTGTTTTATGCATACTGATGACTGGGTGCGAATTATCACCTTGTCAATCAACTGAAAGACAGGAATTTACTCAAATGAATGAAGAAGTATATTGTGTCAGGTTCTTTCTGAGCACTAGAGGAAATAAGACAGGAAGAGGAGGCACAATAATCTTTCAACCTTTACTGTTAGCTCAGCATTTTACCCTTTTAAAGGGCCAGTACTTTATTTACAAGCTGCAGAGACATAATGTGCAGTGGGGCACAAAAGTAATAAATATTCAAAATAATATTTTATATGTTAATTTATATATATATATATATATATATATACATTTTTAGGCTACTTTACAAATATAATTTCTGAATTGGCCTCCTATTAATACTCTGAACTTCCCAAAAGCCATTCAGGACTCTGATTTCAAGATGTTATCGGCCTAGTTTCACATGTGTTTTCACATTTTCTGCAATGTAAAATGAAACGTTAAAATCAATCCCTTTGCATCATACAGGAACTTTGGAGTTAAATACACTTTAAACATTCAGTTTATACCCTGAAAGGCTTCTTAGTGTCTAGAAATGTTTTCATAAGGCTGTTTTTACACTTTGCCGTTCTGAGAGCAGCAACGACAGTGCAATAAAAAAAAGGAAGTTAGAGTCACAGCACCTCCCAGCTCGAGTTGGATCACTTCCTCCTGAATGTGAGGTGATACTGAACTTCTTGTCTCGGTCGAGAGTCTTGCAAAGGGTCTGCCTCCTACAGTAATGTTGTATAGAAAGTTTTGCGAGGTGCAGGGCCGCTATCAGAGGATAAGGAGCTTGAAGGGAGAAGAGGTAGGCCGAATATCAGACACTGCCTCGATTGAGGAGGGCGATGAATTGCCCTGTTGACTTTTGTTGTGGTTTGTTTTGTGTGTGTGCTTTTTTTTTTTTTCTCTCTTCTCACCTCTAGATGTTCACATTTTCCGAAATGGTTAACTCCTTAGTTGCCTGCTGAACTTCTTGTCTCGGTCGAGAGTCTTGCAAAGGGTCTGCCTCCTACAGTAATGTTATATAGAAAGTTTTGCGAGGTGCAGGGCCGCTATCAGAGGATAAGGAGCTTGAAGGGAGAAGAGGTAGGCCGAATATCAGACACTGCCTCGATTGAGGAGGGCGATGAATTGCCCTGTTGACTTTTGTTGTGGTTTGTTTTGTGTGTGTGCTTTTTTTTTTTTTCTCTCTTCTCACCTCTAGATGTTCACATTTTCCGAAATGGTTAACTCCTTAGTTGCCTAACATTGGACTCCAGTGTTTATTTGTCATAGTAATTATCTATTTAGTGCATTTCATCCACAACTGACACATTGTTGACGGTGGTGTTTTTGATTTATGGTGCATAATAGAAATTAATATTTCATGTTTAAAATAAGCAAGATGATATTTGTTTCTTTGACTTTTTATTACCAAAAATGGTCGTTTCTATACAGTTGCGTAACTTGGGGCCTGTATTTACAAGTAGGAAGCTGAACTTTGTTACAGGAGAACTTGACAACAATTGAGAGGATGTTTGTGCACGACTCTCTGCATCACAATGAACATGCCCTCAGTTTGAAATGACGTTTCACCTTTTTTCATTTTTTACAATATTGCACAAACAAGCAGGTGTGCCCACTCAGGTCATTTTTTTGCATAGCATACTTATTAGCTCCAATCTGGGGTGCTCAAGTCCTGTAAATTTAATAATGGCAAACAAGCACCTTGTTTTGGAGCATGAAGACAGGGTGGTGCAGTAAATTAGTTTGCAGAAATGCCATTAAAGAAAATTACGAGCAATTCAAGTTATTGGGTTTAAACTGACGTGCCAATTACGGTGCTTGGCATATTTGAGCTCTAGGTGTTAACGGCTGTCACCTGTTGTAATATTTCTTATACTTCTTCTGGCGCAGGAAAAAGAAAAGGAAAAGAATCGGGAGAAAGACCGAGAGGCCAAAGAGAGAGAGAAGAAATCAGTGAATGGACACGTGTTCAGCACGTCAAACTCGCTGCATCCAGCTTTGTGCCAGCAATGCAACAAAACCCTCAACACTAAAGATACTGTCAACTGCACAAGTAAGAAGCACTTCATCATTGAGGGTTTCAGTACATGCACACCTGGTATTAACGCCGTTTTTGTTATTTACTCCCTAATACTAGATTTTAGTGGGTATATCCTTTCATAATCTTTATTTAACAGGAAAAAACACAGAATCATGTGCAGAATGTATAGACAATAGAAATGATTTTTGCTTATTAGTATGAAAATGGAATACAAAAACATTTTTCAAAGTGAAGGGTGATTTAAAGATTTCAAGATATATTTCAAAAGACTCTTTGCTTAAAAATAGGAAGCAGTTCTGGTAACATCATTCACTTCCTCATGGAGCTGCTGAAGAGAAAATCCTGTTCATTCAGGGAGAAGTCTTTTTTTGTATTGTTTCTTCCCCCTCTTTGTTTGTTTTATATTTTAATCGCATATTCATATTTATGTGTATAAAATTCCTGTAAGTTCTCATCTAATTTATTTTAGCATCTGTCCATAGGCTTATATCCCAACCAATACATCTATATAAAAATAATAAATAAATAAATTATAAATCGTAAAGGCAATTATTTTAAAGCGGTCCTATGACGCGATTTCTTGTTTTGCTTTCTCTTTGGAGTGTAACAAGCTGTTCGTGAATAGATAAGATCCGTAATGTCACAAAGACTAAATTCTCAAACCCAAAGAGATATTCTTTATTAAAGTTAAGACTTGTCCACACCCTCCTAAAACGCCTAGTTTAAACACACCCCCACATGTCTACGTCACTGTGTGGGAAGATTTGCATAACACCGCCCTAATGTATACGCAAAGAAAGAAGGTGTAACTTTTATTCTCGCTGTAGTATTGTTGTCATGGAGATGCTGTGTGCTTCCAAATATGGTAAGGGACGTAACAGTTCCGTCACATGCTTGAGGTATTCGGCCAATCACAACGCACTAGCCAATCAGAGCACTCCTCGCTTTTCAGACCGATGAGCTTTGTAAAAATCGACGCATTTCAGAAAAGCGGGGCATAGAGGAGAAACAATAATGTACAGTTTGTGGAAAATAATGTGTTTTTTAACCTTAAACTGCGTAAACACATTGCATTACACCAAACACAAAATAATGTTATTTTTAGCATCGTCATATGACCCCTTTAATTATTTTTTATAATAAGTATGAATACTAAACAAGGAAAATATACTGTATAGTTGATTCAGATCATATGTAATTCGTTCTCTTTTGGGTTTGAAAGTGTTGCTGTGTTTATGAATACAGTATTTTCTCCAGGATCCATCTGATAACATGATCAGTGTGGTCAGAGTTTTGATCTTTAGGACAGATGTGTATTTCTTGAGCTTGTTGGCATGGTCGTCGCATTTAAATTGTGTGGTTGGAGTTTCCTGACTGGAAGGAATTCCTAAGCCTACTGTCTTTACCACTTTGACCAAGAGCAAGAATAGCCAACACAATTACTTGCGTTAAACTATATTAAAACCTTGTGTTTGGTCATAGAGGTGAAATCTTTGCAAAGAGAAAAAGCTGTGTTTATGCTTGGGTGGCAAAACTGAAATATAAAGCTCCGTTCTCACTACAAGTGACACGCAACAAAGCGACACAATCCCATTCATTTCAATGGAGAGTTGGCGATTTCCACCGAGCGACAGCGATGCGATGGGGCGTGTCCAGCGACGCGACAAAGTTCAGAATCCTTCAACTTTATGCAAATGAAGAGCAACTTTTGGGAGCGACAGCCAATAGGAAAGAAGACTGTAGAGCTCATGTGATCGTTCTCTTCTCAGCCATAGATAAACATACGCAATGGAAGAAAGTAGGCTCTGTTTCTCATTCATTTTTGTTTGTATGTACTAAGGGTTAAACGACTTCTGATTTTTTGAAGTCGACTTTTATGTGATGAAAGTTGAGTCGAAGTCGACTAGTCGCTGATGACGTCATTAATGAACAAATAAGTCTGGAGCTGTGATAAACACCTTGTGCACAGCTATGGCATATGACACAGCGCTGCCTACATGACTGTTGCTCCTATAACAGCTTTTTTTATCAGTTCTTTAGTCTTTGGGTCGTTATATTTCTCACAGATTTCTGCTCATTCTAAATCAGATACAGATAAAGTAGCACAGTAAAGATTACATTAATATGAATGCATTAGTGCGAGCATTACAGTGAAGCAGCGCATTAGATTAGAACGGCGATTAACTTACCTGTACAATAAGCTGTTTAAAACGTGCATTCTCCCATTCAATTTCGAGCATCCAGTAATATAATCACACGTCTTGTGGAGCGCTTTCAGAGTATGCATTTATTTGTCATTTGAACTGTTTGGAAACAGAGCGTAAATGTGGAAGTCCTTCAAAGATTTCTTATGAGCAAATACAAAATACAAAAGTCGCTGCTAGTGTGAATGCAGCTTAATACTATATGCTTACAGCATCTGGAATGTAGCATCTTTATTAAAGAAGTGAATTGCAAATGAGTACTTTCCTAATGTTTTCTATTGACGTGTTTTTTGCAGATTGCAATGTGAGAGTTCACAAGAGTTGTAAAGAAAACGTCCCGGTTTGTCCCAAAAGCAGAATGAAGGTTTGAGTTTTTTTTTCTTGTTTTTTTTTTTTTTTTTAAATGTACCGTATCCTTTGTTACACATCAAGAAAAGTGTTTGCATTGTGTTCTGTTTCAAATCTCTTCCTTTTTTCTGTTTCATAAACAACAGTTTGCTATACCAGAGTCCACCACTATGCCTGTCGTCACTCTACGAACAAAATGTGGGTTTGTTGGCTTTCTTTCTCTTTTTTATATTCTTATTTTTTCATGTCAGCTGATCCTAATGTTGCATGTGATTTTGTGTGCAGCATCCACACAGCGGGAACGGCCCTGGTCTGCTATCTTTTCTCCAGAGGAACATTCTGTGATTGTCCCGTCCAGACGACCCAACAGTATTATGCCCTTCCACAGCAGCAACCTCTCGAAAAGCATGTCCATCAACAATATTGCAATGTTAGTGCATAAACACATACACCAACAAGTATTGTCAGGTTTTAATGTTTGTATATATTTTAATATTTATAAGTATTGTCAGGTTTTAATATATATATATATATATATATATATATATATATATATATATTTAATTTGCATTTCAATGCAAAAATAAAACAACAACAAAACAGTAATATATATACAAGAAATGAAAATATGCTTTAATGGCATGCTTATTTTTTTCTTCCTATTTCTTTCCCTCCACTTGTGATATTGCAATGTTTATATATATATATATATATTAAACATTGGAGCTTTTTTAATGTAGAAAATTATATATGTTATAGCGAGCCAAAAAAAAAGAAAATGCAACAAAATCACAAGCTAAAATTAAAATGAAATAATGAAAATATACAACTAGAAAGAGATGCAAATTCACAACATGAATAAATACTATAATTGTATATAATAATACTACAGTTCACTGCACAGTATATACAGGTGCATCTCAATAAATTAGAATGTCATGGAAAAGTTCATTTATTTTAGTAACTCAACTCAAATTGTGAAACTCGTGTATTAAATAAATTCTATGCACACAGACTGAAGTAGTTTAAGTCTTTGGTTCTTTTAATTGGGATGATTTTGGCTCACATTTCACAAAAACCCACCAATTCACTATCTCAACAAATTAGAATACTTCATAAGACCAATCATTTTTAGTGAATTGTTGGCCTTCTGGAAAGTATGTTCATTTACT